AAAAAAAAAAAGATTGAAGCTGAAGGCCAGCCACATAGCTCAACAGACCAAGGCACCTGCTCAGGCAGAGCACAGCAGCTGGGGTTCAATCTCCAGTGTGCCGTGCCAGCCCCGCTCCCGGGGCCTGCTGATGGTGATTGAGACTGGGAGTTGTGGCATGTGTCTGTAATCCTAGCATTTGGCAGGCTGAAAACAGGAGAATCACTACAAGTCCTATCTGTGTAGTGAGACCCTATAGACCTTGTACTAAATACATTTAAAAAAAAAAAAAAGATTGAAGCTGAAAAGCAGACTGAAGTTTTAAACTGTATGCTATGGAATCTGGACCAAAAGTTTTTAAGGAAAATGATGCAAGTAGACACATCTGAGCTTTAGAAAGCTAGGCATGCTACACAGAGAGATACTAGGCAGGAAGTGTGTGTAGAAAGAAAGGGCTCAGACCGGGCGTGGTGGTGCACGCCTGTATTCCAGTGCTGGGGAGGCTGAAAACAGAAGGATCGCTACGAGTCCAAGCTGGAGTGATACCCTGTACCAAATACATTTAAAAAAAACAAAAACAAAAACAAAAACAAACTCCATTTAAAAAAAAAAAAAAAGGGCTGGTGAGATGGCTCAGTGGTCTAAAGCACCTACTTAAAACAAGCTAAGCTAAACAAAACACAGGGACCTCGGTTCAATCCCCCAGCACCACATGCCAGCCAGCCCTGCCCCCTGGTGGGCTTGAACTGGCCACACACAAAATAAATATAAAGGGAGGGATAATCAACAATAGCCTAACCATCACAGAACAACTTCCTACTTGTAGGACAACTATCTTAAGGACAGTTGGTGATGAGCAGTGTTTCCACTGTCTGAGATAGCTCAGCCTTGGGAACAGATAAAGCAGAAAGAAACCCTGACAGTGAGGACAGAAGGTGTAGGAGAAGGATGTGATAAGACACAGTGACACTCATGGCCAATTACAAAAGCTACAATGGCCAGTTCCCAGGCTGCAATATCCCAAGCATTCACCAATAGGCTCAGGTCGTGATAGGGTAATAGGGTAACTTATTTCCTTCCTTCTTTCCTTCTTCCTTCCTTCTTCCTTTTTTTCTTTCTTTCTTTTTTGCCTTTTAAGACAAGGTCTTGCTGGCCTGGAACTCAGGCAATTCTCCCAGCTCTGCTTCCCAAGTACTACAGTTACAGGCATGTGCCACCTAGAATATTTTGAAAGTCAAACCACACTTAAGAATAGTTGTGCCTCATGCTTCACAAATGAGAATAACAAAAGCAACATCTTCGGAAAGCACAGACTATAACCATACAGCCACTAGACCATAAAGTCATCCTCATCAAGTCTCTTTCTTCTGTCCCTCCTTAAATGTTTTGGGCTCAGTTTTTGAGAATCTGTTAAAAGCTAGTCTTTCTGTAAAGCACACAAACAATTTTACAAACAATTTCAGAGGGTTCCTGGAGTCCCTGCATATATCCCTGAGAATTTAAGGTCCCTCAAACTTTACACAGAGCCCATCAAAGTAAAATTGAAAGAAAAAAAAAAATATATATATATATATATATGGAAGTTTGGGGAAAAGGAAAAGCCACCCCCACAACTCTGCCAACACTGCTTACTTTCCTTACTCTCTCAGGAAAAACTTTCTGAGTAGGAACCTCTGGAATCAGTGTCAAGCACCTCGAAAAACTTATAGGAAACCACATGGTTTTTACTCTAAAACCCAAAGCCAGTGCCACAGTATTGGTCTCTAGTCTTGGTACCATCTATCTACACCTACACAGTGATTAAAGGAAGCTTCTAAGTATAACTTAGATGAGAACACCATCAACTGTAAAAGGTGATAATGATGAGTGTTATATTACAAGCGCTATAGTACATGTTTAATATATAATTTCATTTTTGGAGAGGTGGTCTCTTTGTAGTCCAGGATGGTCCTGAACTCACAGCAATTCTCCGGCCTCAGCCTCCTGAGTGCTAGAATTACAGGCATGTGTCACTACACTCAGCCATAATTTCATGTAGTCTGTGCCAATGCATAATGAAACTGATTAACAGTTTCCACAGCCCCACTGCCTGAATCACAAATCTGATCCAGTTACTCATCAGCCATGTGACTTTCAGCAAATTACTCAATTTCTCTATGCCTTAGTTTTTTCCATCTGTAATAAGTAGGATTACTATGAGAATTAAAGCATCAGGCTTTAATGGCGCATATCTGTAATCCCAGCACTCAGGAAGCTGAGGCAGAAGGATCTCCAGTCTGGGCTCTATACATAGCAAAACCTTGTTTCAAAACACAAAAAAATAAAGTGCTTAAGATAGTAACTGACAGGGCTGGGAATATAGTTCAGTGGCATAAGCACCTGCCCGGAAAGTACAAGGTCCTGAGTTTGAACCCTAGTATGAAAAAAAAAAAAAAAAAAAAAAAGTAGCTGACATACAATAAGCTATATACTGTTAGCTATCATGACTATTATCTTCCAAATACTAGTTTTATCTTTCTGCTATTATTTTCTTTTTTTTCTGCTATTATTTTCAGATAAAGAAACCAAGGCTCAGTACGCAATACCACAGCCCAACAGGTGGTTAAGATAGTATCCAAATCTAGGTTTGCCTGACACCAAAGTTTATGCTGATAACCACTGTGCATTAGTACCTTTCATTTCCATAGAACAACCTTTTTGGTGGTTCTCTAGCACTAATCGTGGCAAGTACAGCAATATGTACTAAAGGACACAAGGCCTAAAGCCATTCTTCCCTGACAACCCCAGCTACCTGAAAG